GTAAATGCGTCCAAAATTATGATATTTCGTTTCGGTTTTCCGTAATTTAGACCTAAAACTCGTAAAATTATTCTAAGTCTCCAAGAAACCGTTCCGTTTTTGCGTATTTTAGATAGAAAATTCGAAAAAAAGTCCAAGTCTAAGAGTTATTCAAATCAGATAAGTCTCAAAGGAGCGCTATTGCTTTAGCTATTGTTTAGTTAAACAAAGAACTGTATGCATAATAATGTATGGGGTTATGCGGAAATCTTGCCCTGAGACCACGCCATGTTAAATTATATTCAGCTGACAGCTGCTTGCTCGCGCTTGAACGGACAATTGTTTGATCCAGAGAAATTTACCCCTCGCAGAATATCACAGTCACGCCACTATAATAATTCCTTCCTCTTATAATTTTTTCTTGCAGAATGTCATGTCCATTCGACGATTGACTAAAGAATTGAAATTTAAGTTGATTGTTCGAATTCTCTGCGAATTTAGAGGTGTTCTTTTCATTTGATGACAAACAATCGATTCATGTAAAAAAAGAAATTTCCATGACACGAAAGCGAAAGTATGAACAGGCAAATGAGTGATGTCGTTTCCATCGCTACAAAACGGTTCCAGTGATGAGAAATGCTGTACAGCACTGTGTAATACTGTAAAATACTTCGTTGAGAATATTGTACATTAGCTAGTAGAATAACAACGGCCAGCGAACGAATGTTAAAAAAAAAAGAGCGAGACACTGCGTCAAGACATGTCTTGCATAACAAATTAAATCTGACTCGTTGTATGTTTGAATATATTAATATAGACTGTGAACACCTCGTACATTTGTCGTCTCTTTATTCCTACCTGTCGTCCTCGAGTTTCACGCCTTTCACTTTGTTGTAGCCGCTTGGAGCATAATCCCACTTTCTTTCCACTGCTGCGATGAAATAAGTCCTTGTCGTGCTGGACGACACGGCAGGAGCACAAAAGGAAATCACAAAGAACGCGAGGCAAACACGCACTGCAAACGACTTCATGGTTTCCCTTGAGTTTCGTCTACGAAAAACAGCGATATTTTTTCACAGGAGTACGCCAGTGAATGACACTAAGCGAGCAATTTACAAGCTGAATCTGCTCTCGGAGACCACGCGGTTTCTTCGCAGAAATAATTACCAGCGTCGCCCAAGTTGGCAGGTTGTCAAATTGAGGGTAAGTCGATCACGTAAATGTCACCGAGTAACTGATCCGTTTCGACGTGACATCGGCGACGGTCGCTGAGAATGCGTGACAACGTCAATCTATCCTCCACTAACGAATTCAAATCGACCATAAGATCTCCTACGATCTTTGTATTCATGAATTGGCCATGGAGCTAACGAGATTCCAATAAATTTGTCATGAAAAAGTTTAAGTTAACGCTTGGCTAGTTCCTGAAAGCAATCAAAGTAATGAATTTTTAAATTTATTTTAAAATGGCCCAGCTTTATATGTAGCGTATAGGAAGCACCACAATTCTCATGGGGGGTTAAATTTCTACATAAAAGCCAGATGATTCAGAAATGAGGACCGTAGATGGGAAGAAGAAAAATTTGTTTGTGATCAACTGGTCGCGCCACCTGTCAAACCTACAAAGCGTGGAATACACATGTAGTGACTGTTGCAATCGGAACGTGTTCGGAACCGTTCGGAATGCATTGACGATGAAGATCGATCATCACCAACAGCAGGCTCCGTAGTAGGGTAAAGGACGGAAATTGGCGAGCACGGTCTCCGAGAAAATAGAGGATTCGAAGTCTATCAGTTTTTGCTGAAGTCGTTCTGGAGGGTATGTCTATGTGCGTGCTGTCTGTCTGTCTGTCTGTCTGTCTGTCTGTCTGTCTGTCTGTCTTTCTGTATGTCTGCCGCCCGTCGCCGCCTCTGTCTCCCTGTCAATCTGGCTTTCTGTCTTTTTGTCGCATTGGTCTGTCTGTCTGTATATTGTCTCTCTGTCTGTCTGTCTCTGTTTGTTTGCTTGTCTGTTTGACATTTTGTTTGTTCTTGTTCATGTTTACTTCGATCTGTGTTTGATTATCTCTCTGTTTCGATTCTCTGTCTGCCAACCTGTTTGCTGCTTGCTTGCTTTCTTGTTTGCTTGCTTGCTTGCTTACTTGCTTTATTGTTCTTTCTTGTTTGTTTGTCTGTCTGTTTGTCTGTCTGTCTGTCTGTCTGTCTGTCGACTGGCCTTTTCTGCTGTGCGTGTTTTTTTTTAGTTTGTTTGTTTGTTTGGTTGGTTGTTGTCTGTTTTCGTGTCTTTGGGCGTTTGTTTGTTTCTATGCTTGTTTGTTTGCCGTTTGTCTGCTTTTTTGCCTTTCCGCCTATTTCTGTTATTGTTGTTATTGTTGTTTGTTTGTCTGTCTCTGTCTGTTTGTTCCTAAAGTGACGTGCTCTGTTGTGGAAAATTGGAGTTTTTTCAGAAGTCCATAAATACAAGTTTCCAGATCCTGCGTAGACTTCCACGCTTAGCTACCATTATTCCGTACACTTAAGGTATAATGTTGAGACACTAAATTTGTCCATTACTTAACTGTTATTTTTAGCAGTGTCTTTTGTTTGTATTAGCCATCCACTAGCTGTCCACTGAATTGGGTACAGTCAAGGTTACCCTACACAAACTACCATATTTGTCCCGGGATTTCTTCTTGTACTTAGCTTTGTTGTTGGTTTTGTCTAAGCCTCGATAGCTAGTTTTTAACAATTGTTCTCACGATAGCCATGTTTCCCTGAGCAATCTTGATGACTTTGGTTGAAACCTCCACGAAAGTATAACGGTTGTGAAGTATCTTTCCCATCGTTTTCATAAGCTCGCCATCAAGTTTTTGTTCTCGCTCCGTTGGTGTGTCTCGGTTTTTGTCTAAGCTAAGCCAGGGAGGTCTTTTTCAGTTAGTTCCCTCGGTCGGTATACCCAAACATGTGGGCTACAATTTAGGTATTTAGATGGAAAGCTATGAGCTTGTAAATTCATTAGGTTAGTTAATAGCATCATTAGCAGTGGAGGCACCTGAAGACTCTTGTAACCTCTCGTAGAAACAGGTTAGCTGACAATCAACTGTTCAACGATAACATAAACTTTCTTTATTGTAAACCAAATTTTAATTTTAGTAAAACATATATTAGTAAAACATATATTATTAATAATAACAAAAATAATAATAATGACTTTATTACCGTGTCAATTACATCTAGCAGTGGAGAATGCCCGCTGCTAATAGGGGACACCTAACTAGAACTATCTAAAAATAATATACAGAAAAGTCCTATAAGGGAAGCTGTTTCATTTACTATGCAGTAAAATGGTTTTATTATCTAACGCTAAATCAAGATATTCCACAATACTTATGCTATTAAGATATAGAGCATTTGTCTAAATCTAACAAAATCCCTGTTGCATTTATTTGATATATTTTTTGTGTGTACTCCGGTGAAAAGGAAGCATATATTATGGACATAATCACACAGCCAGTTGCCCCCAACTCGACTTGTTTGACCAGTGACTTGGTTGCAATAAAAAGATAAGTACTTAACGTGAGAAAAGATAATGCCAGCAAAGATCTAAAGAAACTTGAGGGATAAACCATTTGACTTTCGCTGGAGGTGGGGTGACTTGATGTTTTGCAAGCATACTTGCACCGAAAAAAAACCCTCATGCACACGACCACTGCCGGATAAAATTCACGCACGTTCAGTGAGCCGAAGAAAAAGCATGTTATATGGAGAAAACATATCGATATCACGCATACACGTCCCGAGAAAAAAATATCCTTGTGCATTTAAGGGTTAAATGCACTCCACCCCTAAGACTAGACTGACTTACGGACTGATACTAATAATGTCACGAACAATGTCCCGGCCTAGGGCTCATAGACCTTGCTTAGTTCACACAACATCAGCATTGATCAGCATTGGCACGGCACAATGAGGCAAGAACAAGCATAATTGCAAGCAAGGGGAATAAACATCAGTAAACAGTTAGAATTAGAACAAAAGCCCAAAAAATGGAACAATGGCATACAGGACCAACAGTGTCGGCAAATTTTTGTTGGCAAATCCTTTTGAGGGGCGCCGTCCAAGCTTGTTTAGTAGGCGTGGGACATCATCCGTGACCAGGCAAGAAACATCATTTGCAATCAGCAGATCCAGGAATTTCTCATCTGCCGCCCTCTGTGCGTCACTCAGGGCCAAATTGTCGATGATAAACGCGCCAAAACTGAGGTCTTTCCTGTAGTGATCTTTAAAAGTTTGGAAAGTCTCGTTCGAATACTTCTTGTTGTTGAAAATGTTGTAATCCATTACGACAAACGATCCGTTGGTAGATTTCAACAAAGCGCCACTTCGAAAGAGAACGTTCATGAATTCTCTGCCAGCTGGTGCATCTTTAACGCACTGTTGCATATTCGGTAGGTCACCAAGCTCGCTTTTCGTGACATTGATTGTAGCCAGATCATCCCACATTTGTCTCTTGTAAAATGTGCCAACAACGAGGGATGGATTCACCTTTTTTGCAGCCCAAATCTTAAATGGGTCGAACGACGACAAGAGCACTTTATCGACGACTCCTAGTGCGGTGACAAGCTTTGCTACTTCTTCACCAACCATTTCACTCTCGGTTCGGTTCCGCAAATATCCTGGCTTGATCTAATTAAACAGGGATCAATCGCGAAAGCAGTTCAGTCAGAAACGTTAGATGATTCTTCTAGTTTGAAAACAATCCAAAGACTTAGGGTCTTTCTGAAGTCTCTCCATATGCATAGAGAATATCTCAAAATTTTAACCTCGAACAGAAGGAGAAATAGGAACCAGCAGACCGAGGTTGAATATTAAAAGATCATGTCGAAAAATAACTTAAGAGGGATTACCTTTGGAATAAGGCCTATAAGGGGGATTAAATGTCATAGCATACCCTTCATCATCTCTTACGGGAACCCATTGGTAGAGAAAGAAAGGGCAGGAGTCACGCCTGAAGCGCGGTATTGCACGCGGGGGTTCGCGAGGGAAGAAATTGGAATTCCCTAGGCTTCCACGTCCTCTAGAGCGCGCAACAATCTGGAGTAATTTAATATGCGCGAAGATCTTCTAAATGTCGAAAACGAGGTTGGAGATGAATGATAATTGGTGACTAATCGACAGGGAGATAAAGGGAACGGCCGGTAGTGGAATTCACTTACATTTAAATACATCACCAGTTCATCGTCTTTCGTTGCATCGATGACTTCAGACAGCAGTGGTATTTTTCGTGTTTTGGTGAAGTTGTAAGGTTTCTCTCCTGTCGAATAGAAAAAAGTTATTGTCACTTTAAATAAAGTAAAAGAAACACACTTATAATCCATCGAATATATTTACTCGCGCACGACTGTTCTAAACGCGTCACGTGACTGAATATGCCCCAGCTAAAACTGGGGAGTATCGGACTGCAGGAGCCCATCGCTAGGAAAGTGCAACTACCTCATATTCCTGTCACGGCCTTTTCACAGACCGATCTATTTTCAGTTTGAATTTACCGCGAATTCAGACCTCACAGGAACCCCAGTGACCAATCACAAACACCGACTTAATTTTAACTGACGTCATCATTTCACCGGAAGATTATGTCGAAATGTTCACTTGAGGCCGCCATTTTTTTTCCGTCACCAATACGCGCTCATTTAGACCGGAGCTGACCTATTTCGCGGGAAAAGAAACTTCTCAATCGAAACTTAAACTAAGGAGAAAATAGAGAGATAAAATCGTAAACCTCTATGCTAATTAAGGCATATCATCCTTTGGTGATCGTGAAATGTAACGGAAGTGACAGAGAAGAAACGGAAAATGATAATCTTCCTTCATTTGACTTTCTAAAACTCAGGGCGTCACTAACTGGTGAATCTTAAAAACAGCGAAACCAAAGGTCAAGGAAAATATGGATACAGGACGAAGATCTTTATAACAGCCCAACTTCTGATTCATTTGAAAAATGTTCCAATATGTTTTTTCTTTCTCTATTTACTGTTTACTTAAGTCTTTTACCATCCTATGTGAAACTTGAACAATTACACGTCAACAAATGGCCAAAATAAACGCCCGAATACTCAAGGAGAGACTGGGCACTAGAAGGTTAAATCACGTTTTTCTCAAAATCTACCCGCATGACCCCACCTCAAAATTTCAGGAATAAGAAATTGGCTCTGATTTAACATTCATGCAAAGTAATAATGGTAATTGAACTGAGTGGAGTGCAATTTGGTCTGAAATCATACGCGTGATTTCAAAATCGAACGAGCGCGCAGCGCTCGTTCGATTTGAAATCACAAGTATGATTTCAGACC